TGGGGAAACTGCTCATCACAATCAGCTCTAAACTGAGAGCAGAAATGTTTGTCTTTACCCGAAGTGTCGCACATTTTCAGAGTGTACTCCTCCTCTCTGATCATCACCGTCATGGAGTAAGTGTTCACCACCTGGAGGAGACAGAGGCTGAGGAATGAGAACAAGAAAGAGACAACAGGAAGGAAGTAAACCCGCCAAAAGGACTTGATTACAGAGGTTCTTCATAATAAAACTGGATTTATTCCATGCACTCACACTGATTTATCAAAGCAGTTTGGGCTTCAGTGTCTTGACCAAGGATCCTTACACAAAAAATCTTTTTCATCATAAGTGGTGTTTAACTTGTATGTTTTTCAACACAACACAACACAAATAGGCCATTAAAAACACTCCTCTGTGTAATATTATGGGTTCATAAATAGTAATAGCTTCATCACAGGGCTGAAAGGGGCGCTGACAGTTCTTCTATGCATAAAAACCCTGGAACAGCACAAGAGCTGCACACTGTGTCACATGGAATAAAGTGAAATGAATGCTGCTGCATGTCTGCAGACTTTCACCTCACCGTGGGCACGTATTCAGAGGGAAACTTGTTGACCGTGTAGGACATGAACAGGCAGGTTTTTCCCACTTCAAGGTCACCCAACATCACGCACTTTATAGTGGACATCTGAGGAGGAGGATGGAAGATGATGAAGAAGCAAAAAATGAATGAACAGTAAATGTGAGGCAGGGGAACAGAGGGAGTCTCTGGAGTGTCATCTACAGTATGCAGCTGAAAGATTTTAATTAGACACTTGTGCTTAAATAGACTTATTATATGTATGATACTGTAACAGTTATGGTTACAGTAACAAACAATAAAAGTTGTCACTGTAAATTTGGAACTGATGTCAGTACAAACAGAACAAGACCAGACTGCAGACCACCAACACTCAAGAAAATATTCATGCTAAAAATGCTGATTTTAACTAATTTGATTACTTTTAATTACAGAGTAAAATCTTAAATGTAAATGAATCTGGTCAAATGTACTTGATTGGTATATATTCAGTTTGGACCAAACACATTACTGCTTCATGTTTAAGAGGCTACGTATCTTCTTTCTTTTTTCTTCTTCCACATCAGGCACCAATTGATTTTGCGGATCCAGAAAGAGATTCAGATTAGTGTGTCATAATCTCTTGGCACAACTTGAAAGTATTTAGAAATATAATATAAATATTGATATTGGACTCCTAGAACTTCTCTCTCCTAAGTCTACCACAACTATGCTCTGATTGTTTGATGGTTCCCAATGACAAGGCGATTCTGAGGTGAGCAGAGCATGTGATGATGCTCATTGACGCCTTAAATCATGGTAAGTTCATGCACCTTGGGACACACACATCACTGGTTAAGTGTGCGCGCTGCCTTTACCATTAAAGTAATTTTGTCCTTTTTTAAAATTTCCATCGCCGAGTGCAGCACAGAGATGTTTGAAGGGCTTTTCACTTTGGAGACGATTCCCCGCTCTCTGCCCTGCACCTCTGGCCTCTGCCTCCTTGGTGGGGTAACCGTGGCAACAGAACACCTCAGACAATATGATAACCATGTTCATTTGATACAAAAGCAGTCAAATCTGAGAAAGTTCCCCATGACCCCCTCACAATTAGCCAACTTTGTTGTTGTTGTTGTTTTAATTCAGTGAAGACAGTTATACATTCATCATCTTCTTCTTTTGGCTGGTCCTTTTAGGAGTCACCACATCTGCCAACATCGCACCCTATCTAACTGATGAGGTCAAAGGAAGTTTCACAGTTAAGTCTAATAAGCGTGGCGACGTGTAGCTACAGAACTGTCTGTGTCCAGATGTGAAACTGTAAACGGCTCATTTCCATGTGGCTCCATGTACTAGGCATGATTCTGGTTACAACTGCTAATCAGCTTTTAAAAAGCACTTTTAAAAATAAATCATCATCAGACAGTTACCTGTGAGTATTAAATAGGAACTGAAACTAGTATTTGAACAAGTGTTTACCTGCTTTAAAAAAAGTCTTCTTAAATGTAATTGATTAGTTAAAAACAGAAGACTTTCCTCCTACATGTTAATCTACTTATTCTACACACGGTCATGTTATTTAGTCAAATTCTTTTATTTATTTTTATGTATTTTTTGGTAGAGCTAGCACATTCAGCGAGAGGACAGGAGCTCCAGTCATTAGAAAAAAGTATTTGTTATTTTACTTTGTTTTATTGCAAGTAAATTTGAGGCATGCAGAGATCTGTGGCAGAACTCCACCTCGGTCTAAAAGGATGGCGACGTCGTCTATTTTCATTTCTAGTTTCCTTTGTAGAATTTTCTTTCTTTTTAACTGTGAATTGAATTTTGAAATTTAAATTTGAATTCAGTTTTTTTTTATTAATATTATTTATTTATTTAGTAATGGGTTGTTTTTGTTTATTTAGAGGGGACTGAAGAACGTGTTTGACGAGGCCATCCTGGCAGCTCTGGAGCCTCCGGACACCAAACCCAAAAAGCGCTGCGTTCTGTTGTAGACGCCACGACAAGAAGAAGAAGAAGGATAGGAGAAGGTGGAGGTGGACCAGGAGGAGATTATTAACCCAGATGGGAACTGAGGGGGGGAGGGTAGACGCATTTAAACAGTGCCTTCAGCCATAGTGACTTAACGTGGGTGTGGTGTTAGAACGGATAGGCGCTTTGTTTTCATCACCGTAACATGACTAACATGTTTGAGCAACACTCTTCGCTAACCTGGAAACAGGGTTTTAATAATCGCAGGAAGCAGATTGAGCAATAGTAGTTTAAACCTCAGATGCCTTGAAGATACAAACAATGGATGGAGTCACGTTTGCAGCTGAAACTTAACAAAAACTTTTAAAATCATTAAAAAAATCTACAAGGAACTGTATAACATATCTGAAATAAATGTTGGGAACAATGTGTTGGGTCAGTAAACTGCTGCTTTATATTTGTGACACTTGTGTTAGTGATTGATCTGCTGTTGATTTCATAGTCTTGAAATAATTTGTAATCATAGTTTGAACAGCTGTGGTGTACAGTAGCAGTGACGGGCGCTACACTGTTGATCTCAACAATAGCTTTTTTAATTTGTTAACTTTTCCACGTTAAAACAAAAAAACTTTGAGCAGTATTTTTCCCTTTTCTTTTGTTAACATAAAGATTAACTCTGTTTACAGATTTTAATTTTTATTTTTAACCTTTTAAACCAAAAAATCGTATGCAGTTGTGCAGGCTTTGTGGATTTGTGTAAGACATAAGAGAGACACGTGGCACTCGTAGATTTTCAGCTGAGGACTCTCTAAATACAACAAATAATAACCTACAGGAGAAAAAAGCCTATTTCAAGTCAAACCTGTAGAGCTGCTTTGATTAGATTTGACTGTTGCTTCTGTAAGTGCAGTTTTGATGTCCTGGTCAGCGGTGAAGTTAAAAGTATTTAAGGCAGTGCTTTAAAATAATTGTCCAGAGGTGTTTCAGCGTAGCTGCTGAGTGGCTGTGTTTGCTTCTAGAAAGCCTTTGTTGACATTCTGATCCTGTGGCGAAAAATCCTGTGAAACTTGAGGTAAAGGAGCTAGTTTGCTCTTAATGTATCCACAATACAATTCAAGCAAGTCCTTTTGAAGAAAGCAGGACATCTTTCCAAGCAGCTGTAGTTTGATCCCAACACAAGGTCAGATAAATCCTAAAGTAGATAAACCCATCCACCTCTGCTTAAACTGTAGATTTAAATGTAATCAAAAGTGTTGATCATAAGAAAGTCAACATTAGTGCTGTTTTATTCGGTCACTGGTTTCAAAAAGAGCATCAACAAACATTTTCAGCACTCTATCATCTAGCCGACACCTTCGGGCAGTAAAAAAACCCTCCTAGCTGTTTCCTCCAAACACTGAAAGAATGAGCGTTTAACCCAACATGCTGGAGTGAACTCACGCCTGCAAACCGACCAGGGGATTCAAACAAGGAACCTTCCTGCTGTGAGGCAACGCTGCTAACCTGCTAGCCTTCAGTTTAGGATTGTTTGAGAGCCGCGTCTCCTCCTTATAACGCCTCTGCGTGCTGTAGGTGCGAGTTCTGTAACTTGACTTCATCCGTGTCAAAAAGAATAACTGAGACTAAACATTTACTAACTGGGCAGAAGCTGCACGTTACAGGACAACACATGCATTGGTGTGCACAGTAGCTAACAGTGCCTCAATCTGTAGCTGAGAGAAGTTAGAAACTCGATGTTCTCATGTGGATGCATTGCTTTCCAAAGTAACAAAAATAATATTCAGACTCTTTAAGTCTTGAATTGTCTGAGATTTCTCAAGTTCCACCTGGTAACAGGACAAATGTGGGATATTCACATATTCAGTTTTCACCTGACCACAGAAACGGGAATGTTTTGCAAGAATTTGCATGCAACTGCACACAACATTATATAACTCCTAACAATAACTTTTAACTGTAAACATTAGTAGAGATATTGAAAAAGATTGGGCGAAATGTTCCTTTAGAACGAGTCACTGTGTGAAAACTGTGAGACGCGCCTTTTTTAAGTTTCTTAAATGTTTTCCACCTTATTAAACTGTTAAAGTCGACACAGACAAACGGCCCACGTGTGACCTCCTCTTGTTTTGTCCACTCCTGCTTCGCTGCTCCAGGCTAGAACCCGAGGTGGTTCTCTGGTGGCTCGTTGGCTCCTCCTGGAGGCCTTAAAGGGGATTAGGCTGGTTTAAAGGATTCTGTGTGTCATTTCATTGGCTAAAATCAGACTGATCAGTGTTTGAGAAGTTAAAGTTGAGTCTTTTAAAGACATCAGTTCTACCTTCATTCATCTTCTAGCGGCTTCACAGTTTTTATATTTCATTTTAATGTTACTACCTTTAAATAAGGAAGTGCTGCGCTGACCTTTAGAAATAACCCTCCTCAGTGACTGAATTCTCCCAGTCATTTATTGAAACCTGCTGCTCTGACAGCAAACTTGGACTGAAAGAGTCGGTGCTGCTTGTTTTTATTCATCTTTCATAAAGTTAGTTAAAGCTACAATCAACAAACCTCTGATCTGAGGATGGTTTAAGGCGGTATGACTGGTGAGATGTTAAAGTTCTCTGACACTGATCAGGAGTCAGTAACACATTTGAAACCTTTAAACTGAAATCATTTCCCATTCAAATGAACTGAAATTCCACTTTCCCTCCTCTGTTTCTTTTCTATGGTTGATGATGGTTTATTCTGATTATGTATGGATGATTATAAGTATTATATAGATTTTTTTTCTTTATTGTTTCCTGGTGATTTTTTTTTAACTTGGTGTTTCTGGAATTTTAATTCCTTTTCTCTTTAGACGTTTTTACTGACACTTGACGGTTGAGTGCCAACAGCTGGTTCGAGTATTGCTGGCCGGGTTGAAACTAAGTGATAACAAGCTTCTAATGGCAGGAGAGAAACATGAGAGCCGAAGCAAGAATTAAAGATGTTTTAAAAGATGAATGTTGGAAGTGGTGGGTGTTTGGAAATAATAAAACCAGTACTTGAATGTTTTTTTTTCACTGGGACTTTATTTGTTGAAATTAGAAAGTTGAACTTGCCACTGGGAAATTTGTTCAATAAGCTCAGGTGTGAGATTTTTCATCAGGTGCTCTGCGATAACCCACTGTGTTTTGTCGTGAATTATATATGACTATATCGCAAATATTCTAAATCTATAACCAGACTATGACTCTACTTCGTGTGGGTGGTGGTCTCAGATCAGGCTTGGTGGGGAAAACATGCGTTTCATCAAAATTTGGCAATCAGACTTGGCAGTGTAAAACTGAGAGTTCTAGAATAATTTGTTTGTTTCTATCTCCGACAAAAGTTGGTCGCACTTTCTCATTGAGATGTATCATACTCTCGCTCTCTTAGTGAGTGTAATCACCGATCTCATGTGTTAGTTATGGCTGCTTTGCGACCACTTCTGATGATACTATTAGGTTTTTTTAAAAATGAAACGGAAAATCGAACAAAGAGTAAGAGAGGGCAGGAGTCATGAGAAACCGGGTAAAGACAGGAATAAACCCGCGCAACATAATAAAGAGATCTGATTGACATGATTGGTATCATAAATCTCAAAATATAATCTGCGCCCTTTATTCTACATAGCACTCAAAACACTAGATTTATCAAAGCAAGGTATTGGACATTCAGCGTCTTGTATCCAAAGTGATTTCTCTACACCCAAAAAAGCACATAGGTGTCATTGGCCGACATATAAGTTAAGATTGTACTCTAAACTTCTTCGTTATATGCTATATATTTCAAAACCACACAAAAAAGCACAAATAGAGCCATTCAACAAAAATAATCCACATCCATATCCGGGTGGAACATATTATGGGACTATCATAATCACTCAAGTCAATAGCTCTTCATAGTTCAACAGCTGTTTGAAAGGGTGCGCGTGTACCGTTCTCCCTATGCTATAGACAATAACCTAGGATGAGGCCGCACAAAGAGACATCACACTGATGGTCACCATGCGGAATAACTCAAAAATTAGAAAACTCATGCTGCATGAATGCTGAGCAGAACTCTATCACACTGCACCCTGGGCACGTATTCAAGAAGAGAAAACTCGATTGTACCGGTCGTTGTAAGGGTTACTGAACAGCAGGACTTTTTCCTCACCTATCAAAAGTCAGGCCATTACGATACGTTCATCCTTTAATTGTTGGTGCATGCGTGTAGGAGGAAGGGGTATGTGAGACGCATGATGAAGCACCGCACTTTAGGGAGAATTTACGAAAAATGAATACAGTACTCTCGTGCGCGCTAGAGCAAGACGGGAGACGTACGCATCAAGGTAATCCATCAGTCAAGTGCACGAGCTATGCGTCCAAGCTAAAGGTTATTAATTAATTACTCTTATTTTAAGCACGCTATGTTCATTAAAAATAGGACAACCTTATTATAATAGTGATCGCACACAATGTAACTATGTCTATCGTGGATCAAGTACAAAGTAACGAACAGGAATAGACCACAAGAGGGTTGTCAACGTGTGAACAATTTATGTGGGAACTTAGATGAGATCCAGTACAAAGTCCATGGAACTCAGGACCTTAAGAGCTGCAACCCCCACCATATCAAGCTCACAGATATAAAGTTATATTTATCATGCTTAAACATAACTATCCTGGGTAAGGTTGGTGAAACATAATAATTGATTTTACTTTCCCTTAAATTTACAGAGTATATGTAAATTTTAAATGTAACAATAGAATCTAGGATCCAAATAGCACTATGAATTTGGCCAAAACAGACATGAGTATACCCATTTGCAAGATAGCATCGCGAGATCCACACACATATTACTGCCATATACCATGTGTTGGGAATGGAGAGACGTACGTATCTTCTTTCTTTTCTGTTTATCTTCATCCCCATCTAGGCCCAATTTTGATTATTATATTCGCAAGCTCATGACAAGAGGGGGATATCAGTTAGTGGGCTTCCATAATCTTCTTATGAGACGATCCTTCCACATTATTTTTGACACAACAATATGAGAGTATTCCAAAATTTATTTAGGATAGGCACTAATTATAGTTTACCTCTCATACGTATTGATAATATTGGCTACGCCTTGAGTTATAATCCTTACATTCATCTATCCTACATTGGTATGCTACCAACCCAAGGAACTCATAGCCTCATTGCATCTGTTTTGGACTGCGTTCCTCCCAATTGACAAGGCGGATTTCTGCAGATAGAGCAAAGAGCAGGGTGATGAATTGCATCATAGACGCGCTTAAATCCATTTCATTGGTTATTATGTTTCAGTGCACCTTGTGGACACAGGCTTTATCACTGGGTTAAAGTGTGCGGTCGGCTATACCTTTCCACCTCATAGGGCTATTATCTTTTGTGTGCTCTTCTTCTCAAGAAGAATTTCCCATCTTTGCTCAGGGACATGCACATGACGCTGTTTGAAGGCTGCTCTATCACTATGTTGGGAGTACTATCTCAACCAAGCTACTCTGCGCCGGTGCAGACCTTCTCTGGCCTTGGTAGGCTTCATAACGCTTAGAGTAAGTCCGAGCCCAGAGTAACCGAGGTGAAGCCGAAACTAACTCCTCTTAAAGTACATATCTTTTATCATAACCATTGTATGCTCATGCTTGATACAAAAAGCAGCTCCAAATTGTGTCTGAGAAAACGAATCCTTACCTCCTTATTGATCACTCCCTCCAAATATAGCTTCAACAATTTCTCGCTTGTATGTTAGTTTATTTAATTCAGTCGAGTTAGCAGGAGATTATTACAACATTTCACAGGTCAATCTTCTCTTTGGCTTGGTCCTCTTTAGGGTCACCTACGATGTACTGCATCTAACTTATCAGTTCAACTCTCTTTTTATACCCACTATCCCGCCTTCTCTGTTCATCTACCTAAAGGTCTAGGAGTGACGAAGAGGTGTCTTATTCAGTGCTCAGGTGTGAGAAAAATAATATGTAACTTGGGTTTTCTATTCTTCTTTGTACACTAATATAAGAATAAAGGATCTCTAATGGTAAGCCAACCTGGGATGTTGAGCAGCTTGGTTTTAAACCCAAGTAAACTTTAAGCAACTACGCTTAAAAATTGCTTAACTACCGGGTTCTTTAAGTATAATAGTATGATGTAGTTTTCAGCAGAACGACGTTACCCAGATATCGCTTGCACTTTTAGTATACGATCTAGTAATACCAATCTGAAAATCACGTGACTCGGAAAGATATAGTCGATTATATTCTGATTATGTAAACGTCCCAGAAGCGAACGATAAAATCAGTTATATGGATAATTTAAATGGGATTTGTAGTTCTAGATGTCCTTGTTTGTTCTGGTCCACCTGCAGTTGATTCCAACAGAAAACCTTCAATTGATCCCAGGGCTTCTCTGTCGCCAGTCGACCGTAATCATGACTCAGGCGACAGGCCAACATTTTTCTAAATGTCATCTTCTTATCTGGGAAGTCAAACATTGTTGTTTATCAGGTGCATCCAGATACTCCTGTTCTGCAGACTGCAGCAAATGACTTTCATCATTGAGCTCATTTTAAAAATGAAACTATTTAACTTCAGCATAATCTGATTTCAAGTTGGCCAGACAAACAACACCACTGAATACATGACCTATGTGTTATTTTAATTATATTTTGTTATTTACTGAAGTTTAAGAAGTGTATTCTCAAAATGTTCAGGCAATAAAAAATAATTTAAATAACAATTTGAGTTAAAACGCACACATTACCATCATTTTTAAATCTCCAATGTCTTGGTTGCCACAGGTACCCTGAAGATATTTGAGTATTTATTGTCAGTAAATCGCAGTTTATAATAACTGGCAGCTCCTACCTTTCCTGTTCACAGCCGATGGACCGCTAGGTCTTATTCCGGGAGCGGGTTTAGCAATCAGCTCTGAGTTTGATAATCCAGGGTTGAGGCCAAGTTCGGGTTTTCTGCTCCAGACTGAGTAAACGTCAACTCCAAGTTAGTTACCGGGGTAACAGACCCCGTGAACTAATCCTGCTCGCTGTCAGATTTTCTTCAGCAAACTGAGTGTCCCTCTATCTCCTCCCTTCCTGCTGTACCTGAGCCAGCTGATTCATTTCCTCATTCACAGCCGCTGCCAAAGCGCGAAGAAGAGCTGATTCATTTGCAAAGGGTTTTTTTAAGGCACAGAACACACTGATCAATAATCAATCATTTGTCGTGTTGGAATCGATTGAAATACCCCAGTTGGATTTTGGATATAATGTA